ATATATATATATATATATATATATATATATATATATATATATATATATATATATATATTGTATGCATGCATGCATGCATACAATACAAACGCATGCATGCATGCATGTATACAATACAAACCCACGCATATATGCATGCATGCAATACAAAACCATGCATGCATACACACATACAATACAAACCCATGCATGCATGCATGCATGCAGTTATCCAATAAAAAAATATACATGCATGCATGCATGCATGCATGCATGCATGCATGCATGCATGCATATGAAAGTGTGTGTTTACTGCGAGCTGCCAGCATCAATGGCCAAGTCCATAAGAAGCATCGAAACGAAAACGCGAATCGATGAAGACGGAAACACACGCTCGTACGTTTTCTCCACCGCCCAGTCCTGTGCATGCAGGCGCATGCATGCATGCATGCATGTGCATGCAGATGCATGCATGCATGTAAAGGGTTGTGAGTGGGGCTTCCATGCATGCATGCATGCATGCATGCATGGGTGCAGATGCATGCATACATGTGAAGGGTTGTGGGTGGGGCTTTATTCATCATATTCATCATGCATGCATGCATGCATGCATGCATGCACAACATTATATGTTTAGTTAGAAGATCATCTTAAAATAATATGACAAAAATAATAACAAAAATAATAAAAATAACAAAAATAATAAAAATAAGAAAATAAAAGTAATTAAAATAATAAAAAATAATAATAAAAATAATAAAAATAAAAATAATAAAAATAAAAATAATAAAAATAATAAAAATAATAAAAATAGTATAAATAAAACAATTGTAATTATAATAAAACAACAACCAAAATAAAAACACAGAAAAAAAAACAATAAAAATAAAAACAAAAATAGAAACAATAAAACCAAAACAAAAACAAGAACAAAAACACAAATAAAAACAAAAACAAAAATAAAGTAAACAAAAACAAATAAAAAAAAAAATAAAAATAAAAATAAAAATAAAAATAAATTGGGGTGTATATACAGACCTGAATGTCTCTCTCAATAGAAAACTTTATATAAGGAATTTGCCTCGCTATGGCCGCGTACAGCCCCGCCAGCTCTACACACAGTATCTGCATGCATGCATGCAAAAAAAAAAAAAAATAAATAAATAAATAAATATATATATATA